GGGGCACAGGGATACTAGCTGCTGCTTGTTGAGAGATTTTAGGAAAGTCTAAATCCTGAGCCAGGACAGGCCATTCGTGTGGAAAAGCAACTGCAAACAACTTGTGTGAGGATGCAAAATGGGTGGGGTGGGGTTACCCCCAAAACAGTATTTTATAAAATGTTAAAGGGTCTTCCTTAAGAAGAAGGGGAAAAAAGGTAAAAAATATGAATGATAAAATGGCAATAAATACATATCCAGCAACAACTGAATCTAAAAATAAAAATAAATGAACAAGGAATCTAGTGAACAAAAGAAACTGATGAATAAAATAGAACCAGATGCCAGCAGGCATGACTCAGTGGTTGAGCATCGACCTATGAACCAGGAGGTCACAGTAACCAGTTGGGGCACATGCCCGGGTTGAGGGCTCGATCCCCAGTATGGGGTGTGCAGGAGGCAGCAGATCAATGATTCTCCCTCATCATTGATGTTTCTCTCTCTCTCTCTCTCTCTCTCTCTCTCTCTCTCTCTCTCTCTTTCTTTCTGAAATCAATAAAAACATGTTTAAAAAAAGAAAAAGAACCAGAGGCATGAAAACATGGAAGAGACTGATGAATCTCAGAAGGAAGGGGGTTGGGTAGAGATTAACCAATGATCATATATGCATTACCTATGTACATAGACAATAGGGCAGTGAAGGCCTGGGATGGGGCAAGAACTGGGTTGAGGTGGGCAATGGGGAAAAAAATAAGGGGAAATCTGCAATACTATCAACAATAATGATTTTTAAAAATATGAACAATAAAATAGTCCTAAATGCATATCTATCAACAATTGAATCTAAAAAACAACAACAACAAATAAATGAACAAGAAGAACAGAGGCAAAATCATAGATTCAGAGAACTAATTGGTGGTCCTCAGATGATAAGAGACTGGGGGCTGGGTGAAAAAGGTGAGGGGATTAAGAAGTACAAATTGGTTGTTACAGAATAGACATGGGGATGTAAGTACAGCATAGGGGATATAGTCAGTAATACTCTAATATCTATGTATGGTGTCCGATGGGTATAAGATTTATCAGGATGATCACTTAGAGAATAATATAATGTCTAATCATCAGGGTGTACGCCTTAAACTAATATTGAATTGTATGTCAACTGTAGTTGAAAAATAAAAAATGATTAGAAATCTTTAATTAAAGGTCAAAAGCTACTTAACAGAAAACTCCTACTTAAATAAGAGGTGATAGGACCAAACATTAAAAGATTAATGGACTGGCTCAAGGGTTAGATCAAAGGACACCTGCCAGCAAAACCAGATGTATGCAGCCATACAATCTTATCCCAAACAAAATCATTACAGGGTATGTTGTATGAATAAAGAATGTGTTGTCATTATTTAATAAAATCAGCTGATTGCTATATAAATATTCAACAATATGATGCAATAGTGTGTCATAAAATTCATTTTAGTTTTTAAAATACTATATTAAACAGACACTCATCACACGTCCTTGAAATACATAAAGTCTGTACAAAATTGGAGACTCAACTGCACATTTATAAGATCAATGAAATGGGTGTAAAAAACTTTTATAAGAGCAAATGACACAAATGCCTGGTCTAATATGTACAAATTATTAATCTCTCCCACAAGTGATATTAAAACATTTCTCTGTGCATCTCATCTGGATTGGTTGGGAGTGTGGTCTAGTGTTTTCATGAAAACTGTGCCCCAACCTTGAAGTAGAAACCATCGTTACACATCAGCTAGAAGGGGAGTTAGGAGCACTGTGGGCTGTCAGTGTGGTGTTAATGGTGTCCCACATGGGCTTGTACTGTTTTGTGAAAGTCAGTTTGTGCATCACCTCCCAAGTCTGCGTGAGGACCTTACATGGGCACTTGACGTTGGCCATGAAGGGGGCATATATACCAGAGGAAGTGGCAAATGACAGGAATCAGTGATTTTCTTATATTAAATTTATTGAGGTGCCATCGGGAAAAGGAGGACATAGGTTTCAAGGATGCACGTCTGTAACATGTCCTCTGTGTCTTGCACTGTGTTTTGGACAAGGGGGTTTCAGAGGCAGCCCAGACCAGGCGACCCCTTCAAACAACCAGGTCTGCATCCCAAGGGATGAAGTTTCTGCAGAAAGCACACAGGTGGCCTCCGAGGCCAGGTGAGGGGCGCGTGGAGTCCAGAGAGGGCGTTAGGACCTCCTCTGGGTTTACCTCTTGCATAATGGATTGTGTACCTTGTAGATTGATTCCAATAGATGGCATTCTCCAGACTCAGAAGGTGGGGACTCCATACAGACATGAAGGTCCGTGTGGTTAGAAATAAAGGAAAACAGATTTCATGCAAGTGTAGGGAGGCGTGGACCTGTACCTGCCACCTGGAATAAATACTAATTTCACCAAAATGGGGAAAGTTAGGAACCAGTCACAGGACTCACAGTGGTTGGGAGGGAAAGGACCACAGTCCAAGGGCAGAAGGTCCAGACCTTGTCCCTGCACATGAGCAATGACTCCTCTACCTGCAATGAGCCGCAGACAGGACCCTCAGCATATGTCCCACGTTATCTTCCAGAACCTTCCCAAGATCACCCTCTCTGAACCATGCATTGTTCCCTCCATGTTCATGTCCTGGCTGCATCCTGGGTCTGTTTCTAGTTCTTTCGAGACCACAATAGCAGCACCCCGAGCGCCACCAGGACCAATCCAGCCACGGCCATCCGGATGGAATTCTCCACAGTGTAGTCTTGGGAGTGGGAGGCTGGGAATTGTAGGCAAAGAGGTAACAGATGTCAGGGCCGAACAAAGTAATCCCAGGACCCTGGATGTCCACCCATGTCACCGACCTCCCCTTGAAAGGACACCACCATCTGTGCTGAGCCCATAATAGACAGTGTCTCCTACTCACCACTCTTGGGGTCTGAGTTGTTCTGTGAGGGGCTGATGGTGTCGGCTGCTCCTGAGAACCAGATAGGAGTGGGGCTGTGTGAGGAGTTGATGCCACTCAAGCCCAGTGTCCCCATAGCTCTCCCCTTTCTCATGACCTAACTGCTACCAGTCCCTCCACAAACCTTTCTCTGCTGGAGAAGGGTCCTGCCTGCTTTCATGGATTCTTTCAAGCTCCCTGGGAATTTTGAGTCTTGACTTTGCTTCTGAGTCACTTTGGAGCACCTTGGCTTTGCCCAGAGGATCCGGGATGGGAGAGAAACATGCTTTCTCATTATAGACAATAGCTACTTATTTATTTATTTATTTATTTATTTATTTATTTATTTATTTACTTACTTACTTACTTACTTACTTATTTATTTATTTATTTACTTATTTACATATTTATATATTTATTTAAATCCTCAGTGGAGGATATTTTTTTCATTGATGTTCAGAGAAATTAGAGTGGTGAGGTAGGAGGGAGGGGGAGGG